TAAAAAAGATCAAATGAAAGATGATTGAATGTACTTCTAAGTTAGCTTTGTGCACAAAAACATATCTCTACCATATCGTAGGTAGCTGCTTTTAGGCATAGGGGGGGGAGGGAGCTGAGGCTCAGATGGAGAGATGAGGTTTTGTGCACAAAGATAGCTCTACCATATCGTAGGTAGCTGCTTTTAGGCATAGGGGGGGGGAGGGAGGTGAGGCTCAGATGGAGAGGTGAGGTTTTGTGCACAAAGATAGCTTGTAGGTGGCTTGTAGATGTAAACTTACATGTTGGTTTCATCCTCATGATGATTTATATCCTCATCCTCATGGTTGTTTTTTAAACTTAGTAATGCTCATATCCATCATCCTCCCTGTTCTTTCGCTTCCTTCCCGATGTTCGTAGCTGAGTACTCATCTCTGGTAGCTGTAGTACCTCCTCCTCCTCAGCCTCCTCCTCAGCCTCCTCCTCAGCCTCCTCCTCAGCCTCCTCCTCAGCCTCCTCCTCAGCCTCCTCACGATCACTTATACCATCTCCATCAAGCTCATCTAGCCTCTCGTCACATTGCTCCCTTTCTGCTTCAATCTCATCTAAGGAAAAGAATAGCTGAAGTTCTTTCCTCTGCTGCCCTTCAAGGTCAAACCTTGAAGCACAGAGAAACAGCATCAGCTCCTCAATTGTTTCAGACTTCATACGACCACGGCGATAATGGCAGATATCCCGGGCAGTGTTGAATAGCCGCTCTACACCAGCACCTGTTGCTGGGATTGAGAGAACATCCCGTGCAAGTGCAGAGATTATAGGGAAACGTCCTTGGTGCTCTCTCCAGAATTGAAGAGGCTCAGTCTCAACAGTGTCTAAGGTAGGGGTAGTTAGTATGTATAGATATAGGTAGTATGATATTAGAATACTGATAATTCAAACATACCACCATCAAGATATTGTGTCATTTCATCTTTAGCTAGCCTTGTCTTCGGTTTGCTTTTGTTTAATATCTTATTAAGCTTTAAGCTTAGCTTTGGTGTAGGTAGGGAGCTTCCTGTGTCTGACGTATGAGAAAGATGCTCTTGGTGCTCTTGGTAGGGAGTAAGAGCTGTCTGGAATGCACTCCGGTACTTAAGTCGCCAGGACCCATCCCAGTCATCTGATTGGAAAAACTGGAACCGGCTGTCAGGAGCTAGCATTGTACCAACTGCATATATGTGCCCTGGAATACTATCTGTCTGTGTGTAGTACTCATCAAGCTTTAATCGGCTAGCTTCAAGGCACTGAAGTATGTGCCTTTTCCATGGAACCCGCTTCTGCCTAAGCTGCGCCATGGACTTTTCAAGATGCAAAAATAATGCATTATAAAGCTTGAATATAAGATGTATGGTTATATCTCGTGTCTTCGATAGCTCAGTCGTATATTCAAAGAAGGGCTCAGTAAGATAGAGCAGGTAATCGATTTGGCGCCACTCCTCTGGAGTTAAAAGCATTTCTTTACAGTCATATTCCAGGCAAAATGGGAGGAAAAAATCACGAAGCCTCTTAGCTCGGCGAAGCATTAGGAAGGTTGAATTCCACCGAGTCCGTACATCTTGTATTGGAATAACCTTTGGTTCCTCTGTTTGAAGATTGATGAATGTTTCACGGCGTTGGGGGCTTGCATGAATGTAGATTGCAAGATAGCGTACCTTATTCAAGGTAACAGAGATCTCACACTTCTGGCGCTTTAAATTATCCTTAGCAAGGGTTGATTGTTTCTCAGTCCATTTAGTTTGGGTAGTCTCATTTAAAGGGGCTGCCTTTAGGCGATCCAGAAGCTGGTTAAGGCTAAGCTGAATAACATGGGCAAGGCAAGGTATCCGGGTAATGCTAAGATTCTCAGGTAGGGCTTGTTGAATTGCATCAATCATAGTCTAATTATATAGTATATTATTAGTAGTAGCCTTAAGGATAGAGATGGAGATGGAGATGGAGATGGAGATGGAGATGGAGATGGAGATGGAGATGGAGGGTACCTTATTATTTGATGCATTATCAGTTGTAACTCCAAGAACTCTGTCTGTAATCTGATGCTCTTGGAGTATGTTGAGAAGAACACTACTAAGACTTATACCAGAGTGTGACCCAGAGAGTGGTTTAAAACCAAGAAGCACCTCCCGATAGGTCCAATCTGCATCAATAAAATAGCCAGTAACGGCCATAAATGCTTGCGAAAACGGAGAAGTCCAGCAGTCCAGCGCAATTGAAATTTTTGAGCTGGGCGGTAGGAGGTTAAGAATGGATCTCTGGCGGTCTGCAACTAGATCTTGTAGTCGCCGACGAATTGTATTTGCAGACGGGATGGTTGGAGGTAATGGTGAAGAGCGAGCCTTATGAATCAGACTATGAAAGGTTGGATGCTCAATAAGGTGGAATGGAAGCCGGTTGATAGTAAGAAATTGTAAGATTTCTTCCTCCCAGCCTAGCTGTGAGAAAGGAGCAAGAGCAGGAGTAGTAGATGGCTCATCTTCCTAGTGAAATAAAATTAATTAAATAGTTAGTTACTGTCTTAGTAGTTAAGCTAGTTTCCTACTGATTAAGCTTCTCTTTTGTGCACAAAATGCTATCTCAGCTAGAGTTTTTTTTTTGCGCCCAAAACACCAACTCTGTGTATCTCACCACCATTAAAACGTACCTTGCTTATAAGGAAACCAGTAATATTCTCCTTCCGCCTCATAGAGTTTTGGCATTTTGCAGTTTTTAGGTGTTTAGCCATGGTTGATGTGCCTTGGTAGCCATTTTGACAGGCAGAGTGAGCATGTTCAAGAACCTTGCTACACCGCTTACACATAACCTTTGGTGCACCATCTGTGATTTGGGCAACCTGATGGAAGTTATTCCAAATTGGGGCCTGGCGGGCTGCTTCCCAGTGGATCTTACTTTTCCTCCCATAGTCAGTTTGTAGCCACCAGTCAACCCACTCAGTATGCTCTACCATATTGTAGAGGAAATAGGATTTTCTTCGGTCGGGTCCAACGCGGATAAACGGTAGAGGAGGAGGAGGAGGTGTATCTGGCCGGAGGAATGTATGCCCATCAAAGCTTGGGAGTGTGGTCTGGGTACTAGGTAGTTAAATAGTAAGAGAGTTAGGTGGGCTTGAGATAGTCTAAAAAAAAGGGAGAATAGTAGTCTCTAACTCTTCTTCATCATAACCTAATGATGATGATAGGTAGAGAGGTGATTGGAAACTGGAATTTTGGCTTTGGGACATGAGGTTAAATGAAAATCATGAAAGAATAATAAGTGTAAGGGTAGGGTGGGAAATGTAGAAGAAGAATAGTAAGTAAGTATCAAGGGTAGGTAAATCATAAAAGAATGATAAGTGTAAGGATGAGGGTATAAAGGAGAAGGTAGGAAATATAGAAGATTAAAGATTAGAAATAAATAAATACCTAATAACACATATCTTTAATTTTAAACCCATAAAAACCCACAAAAACCCAAGAAGAGCCCAAGAAGAGCCCAAGAAGAGCCCAAGAAGAGCCCAAGAAAACCCATGAAAAACCCATGAAAACCCATGAAAACCCATGAAAACCCACGAAAACCCACGAAAGACCCACGAAAACCCATGAAAACCCAAGAATTACCCATGAAAACCCAAGAAGTACCCAATCCCAACCCAAGTCTACTAAAAGTCTTCTAAAAAATTTTACCCAGGCTTCCAGCTGCTTCCTTAGAATCCCTACTTTACCCGTTTATTTTATGAATACTATCTTCTTCAATTTAGTAAATATTAAGTTAAAATACTATAGAACTAAAGATTCAATTTAATATTAAGAAATACTAAATTAGCTTAAAAATAAAAAGTAACACTTTTGTAGGGCATACATGTAAAAGATGCACTACCTCTGCAGCATGTAAATATATATTTCCTACAACATTTACTAAATATCAATTTCTACACCCTACATCCTCCATCCATATAATATAATATTTTATAATAATTTTTCCTTCTGAATGTTAATATTATTTTCAAATAAGAAATCTATTATTATTACTAGTAATCAACTTACTCTCTAACATCTATTTCTAAGATGTAATGCTGCTACATGTAAAGGTATAGTAGCTACATGCAAGGGTATAGACTCATAGAGACTCTAACATATAAACTAAAACGAATGCAAAACACATGTAAAAAACAGTATTTTAAATTGATGACTGAGCAGAGTTATACATGCCAAGACCTCTTTTTTTATGCAAAATTGGGTTTTCCTGGGTACCCAATGGGTACCCAGCTTGGGTCTTGGGTCGGGTTGGGTTTTTAGGTGCTGGACCCAAGACCCAGGTGGGTTGGGTCTTGGGTCCAACCCTTGGACCCAAATTGGGTTTTGGAGAAGTCTATTGATAGCTAAGGAGGAGTAGTTGCTTTTATGGATGATTTTACTATATAGGTGACTAGACTAACCACCTAGAATAATCAAGAAGGAATCAAGGTAATAATTAATAAGGTGCTTAACTAGGAAAGAAGAAGCGGAGCGACTTTTAAAGTGGATAAGATGGCTATTATACATTTTACTCTATATAACGGTGTGACGGTTAATAGGCGGCCAAAAATGGCGACTTCGACGGCTGTTTTAAGCATCCATCTAACCGGTCTTTGTCTTGGCATTAAGTGTGCGTATCTCCACGACCAGGCGCTTCCCTCCACGCAACAGCAATCATTTGGGGTTCCTGGCGCCAAGGTTTCAGAGAAGCCCTTTGCCGCATTTCATTTCAACATCACCTACCCGGCTGTCTCACCGTGGTCACGGTAGAAGTGAAAAAGAGCCAAAAATGGCTCTCTTCCCCTCTTTTTTAAACACCATGTTCTTTCCAGTTCCAGAACACATGTTGACCTAGTCCTTCCTTCTTGCTCCCATCCTTTCTCAGCATAGTTTCTTCTGTCCCTTTCGCACTCTGTCCATCGCTTTCAAGTACTGTTATCTGTCTTCTTCCCCTTTCTTCATTCACTTCCCCTCCAATCATCATTTGGCTGCCTTAATGATGTTAGATTGCTCCCGACCGGTTGAATATGACAACGAGCGGAGTCTGGACGACAATTCCAGCTCCGACGTGAGCGAGGTCTTTTCGGATATTGAATCTGATAGCGACTCTAACACTGACCTGGAACTCGATAGCGAGAATTCCGACAGCGATGACGATGAGCTCGACGGCAGTGTTTTCAGCGATGAGGGCCAACTGTCTCCAGAATACTACTTGGCCCAAGCAGAAAGCTTGGATGTCTCACGACTTCGACAAAAGCGGTACGCTGATAGTACTCAGGGATATCTAGATAATACCCGTGTATACTGGGATAGGTAGGCAGACCCTCTTCACCCTCGCACTACGCTAAAAGCTGACCTGTCGGTCCCTGGCAGGTACTGTCGGCATATTGGTGTTGACCCAGTGCTACACTGGAAATCGATCTCGGACTCTGACAAGACGGTCCAATTCCTCTATGGATTTTTTGGCTGGAGGTGTGACATTCGCCGTGGCAAGGACGGTCGACACTGTCCGGGCTTTCGAGTCAAGAGCTCATTGCAAACATTCTGGAAGTGGTGGCATCTTGTTCTTAAACAGGAGACAGAATCGGAGCTAAACAAAGAAACCATTCGCAAAGTAGAGGACGTGAGCGATTAAGTCCCTCAGCACTCATTCAAAGAAGCAGAGACTGATCCCCCACAGATTATTGCCCTTGTGGCCGAGGAGAAAAAGCTCAAACTCACCCAGCGGCCGAAGAAGAACATGTACATTGAAGACGTTGCGGAGTTCGCACGTGTTCTCTTGACAACCACTGAAATGACGTATGGGTGCGGCTGGCAGCGTATTCAAATACTTTTCTTTTGCCAGCTTGCAGCTATCACTGCAAATCGTCCAGGGGCGCTTCTGCATCTTCGCTATCGGGACATAGGGCTAACACTGATTCGAGACCCCGAAGGCGGACGGCCTCGGCTGTTCATCTTCCTGAAACCAGACTTCACAAAGAGATTCCTTGGGAAGAAAGCTCCGTAGGTCTAATGGATTTCTGTGACCTTGGAGGTTGGTGGTTGACAAAAGTGCCCAGGAACGAGTTCAAAATTCCAGAAATTATCTTTGATCCAAGCTTGGCTCTAAGTCCGCATGTGACTTTGCTCAGTATGCTCTTCTATGTCGATGGATTCAAGCGATTTTCGAACACCGGGCCAGTGTTGGATTCTCCGGAGAAACTATATAGCCTTAGGGTTCTTGATGGTCTAGGACAGCAGGCACTGCTTTTGAAAGATGAGTTACTGGATAAGTTTGTGTTCTGCCAGGTGCAACGTGAACCTACTGGGTATCGACTTGTCTTGGAGGAGAGCATGACAAGTTGCATGATAAGATCCCGGATGCGTCGAGGGGGTGAGATTACAGGCTATGATCAGGTCTCCCACCCATACAATCTCCGATATGCTGGAGCCAAGCAATTTAACAATAGTGGTAAGACTTCGTTGATTATGACACCCTAACTGACCAGGTAGCTAACTCAGTGGATAGAAGAAGTGTCGGACGCTCTCCAGAACGTGATTCTTCAGCATTCGAACATTAATACCTTTGTCCGTCATTATCAAGTGGACGTTGACGTTGATGTTCAGGGAATCATCCGCAAAACAGGGTCTCAAACGCGCTTGGTGCGGTTTGCTTGTTCATTTAGTGCATCTATCGATCCAGATCGACCATTTAAGCTCTCCCCTGAAGAATCTTTGTCCCTTAATGAGCTTCCAGTCATGCTCGTGCGACAAGAGAAGGTTAATAAACGCAAGAGGAAGTGGGAAAATTGCAAAAACAAGTTACAAAATGCTAATACGGTCGCCATTGAACTCTCTGATAGTTGCAAGCAAAAGCTGCAACTTATCACCGAGCGGACTATGGAAGCAAAGGAGCGCTACGATATTTCCATCCGTGATTTGCGTAACGAGAAGCAACGACACCGAAGCCAGCGGATCCGGGAGAATCTAGAGCGGTACAGGAATGAGCAACCCGTGATCGACCTTGAGCGACAACTCGCAGGGAAGCTGGTAAATACCAAGGTGATTGACACTCTGGAGCACAAGACCTCCATGACTTCGCAGCATCTGGCGTTAATTGATACAATGCTCACAATGCCGGGCGCCACTCTCGAAGAAGAGTACCAGCGCAGGATCAACGCGATTAATGCGATGACTGTGTTCTGTTCCGTGGAGGAGGGCCGGCCAACACCTCGGACCCGCCAATCCTGCCGTCGGCCTCTGTCTGGCGATGGTGACGACGACAGTTCCGATGCCCCGATCAAACGACAACGGCGCGTTTTGGAAGATGTCACTGAGATCACCTTACGCCAAGCAATGGAATCAGTACGAATCAAGGATCTCAAAGAGCGGCCCACAATCTGCTTTCTTTGCTTGGGGAATCCGAATCTTCCCCTCATGGAACGAATTGCGAAGCATGCAACGCCCGGTTCTCTCACCAGACATTTTTTACGAAAGCATGTCAATCCTCCTTGGCCGGCCAAAGGCTTGGAGTGTAATGTTTGCAGAATGGAGTTGCTTGAACAGAGAGCTGATCTCTTAAATCATGCAGAACTTTGCCACGGAACAGTCGTGCGAGGCAAAGCTCAAGAAAAACTAGGACAAGAATGCCAAAAAGTCAGATCCGCGTTACATTAGCCAAGTATTTGCTAAGTGGTTCTCTGAGATCGCTCGCCCGTCACTTTATTGACTTTCATATCGAGTCGTATTCAAAGGATGAGGAAGTTGGAGAGCAAAGCAGGACTATTAAACCATGCTGGGAGGTGCGTGGAAGCATTCCTTGTTGCCCTTCATTAGCCCTTGGTCTAATTTAGATGCTCTATACATTTCTGCAGACTCAAGCTTCACTTCGCATTCATTCGATGTTGCATATCAAGGACCAGCTTCTTAACATGTCGAGTCCCCATATTTGCTACATTTCGGGGTACTCACTTCCTGAGTGTAAATCTTCATATCACTTTTTCCGTACCGTATCTCAGACCCGGTGAAACGCGTTCTACTCATTGGTACTCATTGATGGTGAAGAGGGGACAATAGAAGTGATGAGTCCTAAGGTCTTCCGAAATTTCGAGATCCAGATGCCATGGGTAACATATAGTCTCAGGTAGTGACCAACAGCACACTGACTCTTCTGGCTCCTCCTAAGGCTCTGGACCAGAGAGATACAGATTCAACTTCACAATTAAGGTGAGCTGCTACAATGGTTCTCGAAATCGGTTTGACAAGTACTGTATCTCCGCATGTAAATCATAGAATCAACAACTTTTCAGGCTGACAAATAATGCTAATACTGTACGTGGCAGTAGAGCTGAACAAAAAGATTGGAAAAAGAGGAACTGTTGTGATTTGAGGGTGGTGCAGATCCGGGACAGAGCTAGGGCGTCGGTATGAGTGCCTCAGATATCTTTATAAAGTATTAAGTTGATTGAAAATCAACTTGACGTCCTTGACATATGCATCCGTTCATTTTCTTGTGAAACAATAATCAATCTTCCTTCGAACTACAACGGGAACACTACAATGAGACCGTGAAATATCAAGTGATCAAATTGTAGATTTCTCAGGGCATTTCACAATCAAATGTCAAGCGCCGACATGTAGAATCCACACATGCATAGGGAGCCATTCTTCTTCGCAACTTTGTAACTTAAGACGCTTTGACTACTAGGAGCGTGAAAAGGATTTGGGTATGCGGGAAAACTGACTTCACTTAATTTGGAAGGCGGTCCCTTCGATTGTGAGAAGAATGTCAGAGTCAGTAAGCGGTACGTGTGTCGGTGAGGACGAACATACAAATGGAAAGGCGGTAACTAGAGCGGTACAGACTTCAAGATTGTTTCTGGCAGGCGGTGCTCAGCTCAAAGCGGTGAATTTTGAACACAGCAGGCGGTGCTCGCAGCGGTCAAGCACCCGGCAGTGAGAGATATGAATAGGCGGTCAACCAAGCGGTACAAGCAAGACTTGAGCAGCTTTAGTCGGTAGCGAAGGCGGTGATGAGGGAAAAAAGGGCGGTGGACAGGTTTGATATTGTCGGATAGAGGCCTTAACGTATCCCGTAAGCGAGCCGCACATGTAAGCGGGCCGCACACCTACCAAATTTCCGGCCGCGAAACACAACTCGCGATCTTCAACCAGCAACCATGCCACCAAAGCACGCTGTCTTGGCCGAAAAATCAGATAGCCGAGAAGGAAAGCTTTTACTTGCTATACGAGCTATGAAAAATGACAAAAATTTGACGCTCAGACGTGCTGCGCGCCTATATGACGTCGCTGTATCTACCCTACGCGACCGCTGTAACGGCGCGACACCCCGATCAACCACACGCGCAAATAGTCATAAATTGACCCAATTAGAAGAGGAATCACTTCAGAAATGGATACTCTCTATGGATACACGTGGGGCAGCACCTACACAGTCTATGGTACGAGAGATGGCAAATTTATTACTTGCAAAGCGTGGAGAGACCACCCCGCAGACAGTTGGGACCAAATGGGTATATAATTATATCCAACGGACACCTGAGCTTGCGACACGTCTATCACGTCGATATGAATATAAGCGTGCTTTATGTGAAGATCCAGCTACTATAACGGAGTGGTTTAACCGTGTGCAGCAAGCTATTCTTACATATGGTATCCTTAATGAGGATATTTATAACTTTGATGAGACTGGCTTTGCTATGGGTATGACAAGTACATCCCATGTTGTTACACGTGCTGAGTACTATGGAAGAAGACACCTTCTTACATCTGGAAATCGTGAATGGGTTACTGCTATTGAGACAATCAACAGTTGTGGATGGGCACTGCCACCATATATCATCTTTAAAGCAAAGATGTTTAACCAAGCCTGGTTTTCGGCTGAAAACCTACCATCTGATTGGCAATTAGATGTTAGTGATAATGGCTGGACTACCAATCAAATCACATTGAATTGGCTCCGGAATCACTTTTTACCATATACAAATACACGTGTGTATGGAAAGTGGCGGCTTTTAATTATGGATGGTCATGGCAGCCACTTGACACCTGAATTTGATCAAATATGCGAGGAAAACCATGTTCTACCATTATGTATGCCAGCCCATTCTTCCTATCTTCTTCAACCTCTTGATGTTGGGTGTTTTGGTGTGATAAAGCATATCTATGGGCAGGCTATCCAGCAGAAGCTTCGATATGGCACACACCACATTGATAAGCTTGATTTTCTTGCTATATACCTATCTACCCGGGACCAAGCTTATAAGCCAGCTACAATTTCAAATAGCTTCTTAGCAGCTGGCTTAATCCCGCTTAGCTCACAGCGGGTGCTTGAGAAGCTTGATATAAAGCTACGTACACCTACACCACCCCCTAGCAGTGGAAGCAGCAACTTTACCCCCCCATACACCATATAAGCCTACCGATATCCGACGACAGGCTTCATCAATCAAAAGGCTGTTAAAACAGAGGTCATATACACCTCCCAGCCCAGCTAAAGAAGCGCTTGAGCAGCTGATTAAGGGATGTGAGATTGCTATGCATAACGGCGCATTTCTCGCTCATGAAATTGAGCAATTACGCGCTGAGAATGGGCGGCAGGCACGTAAGCGTGCCCTACCTCATAGGCAGATGGCTAATAAGGGTGGAATGACTGTGAGCGAGGCAAGCCAGCGTATACAGACAGAGAGAGAGGTAGTAGAAGCAGAGCAGGTGGTGGATGTAGAGCGGCGGGAAGCGCGGAAATCGGCTACTGGGAGAGCGCTGCCAAAGTGTACAAATTGCGGCAATATTGGACATAAGAGAAACACATGTACTAACTAAGATAGAAGTCGTTCTAATTAAATATCTCTGTTGTTGGTTGAATGATTGTATATAATATATGTTAGTTGATGGGTAGGTGTGCGGCCCGCTTACATGTGCGGCTCGCTTACGGGATACGTTACTGCCTGAGATTACGTAAACCTACACTGTATTTTTACCCCTTAGATTTAGCAGAATTGAACACACATACACACATCTGTACAATTGGACCCCATTGGGTGCCACATGCTGCTGAATAAGCCTTTATTCTTACAGATATTGATTAGCATTATCCCTACTACTAAACTGATAAACTAATGAGAATTTTTGTATATCGAGAACATCAGGTTGCTCCCCGACCAAGTTGATCCTACACAAAAATATAGATATCTGAGAAGAACTCAATTCCGACAGAATACGTGAGGCTATTCAGGAAGAGCGGAGATCAAATAGATTGGATATCAACTCGATGCACATAGATGTCGTTTGTATAAATTCCAATGATGCGGCTCCTTTACATACTGATCCACACCAGTCTCACATCACAAAAAATCAAAGCATTCGTTTGAAGTCAACCCAGCAGCCAGGTCTAAAATTACAAAGCTGTCAAGGAACTCAACTATGTCAGCCTTACAGAGAAGGTCTCCAGATCAGGTGTCGAAACATAGCCGAGATCCTATTAGTTTCGAGACAATCACCGCAAGACTTACACTCCTCAAGTGTTAGTCTTAGTATAGATTGAAGACCTTCCTACCTAATCCTACCCAAATCTCCCTTGATTCGTATACATCCCGTACTTGCTTGGCCTAGCCACATTGGTGCTACCCAAATCTAGCCACTTCATTACAAAAGCTCTCAACCATCAAATGAGTTTACAAATACCGAGATGATGATGTCGCTCGCTTAGCGCCATATGAAAGCGTGTCCCTACCAGATCGACTTTTCATTTTCAATCAGCATCGCTCTCTCCAGTGTATCTGGCCCCCGCACATTTGCTTTCCTGCATATAGAAAGCTATAAACTCTTGCACAGCCACATGTCTCACTTTTTGTGGAGGAAAAGAACAGTTACTCCATAAACAACAATGAACATAGAATTGCGTCGCCCAGGCAAAGTTTTGGATCAGGAACATGCGTACTGAATATGAGTAGAGTTCTTAAAGACAGGTGGTTCGTTGATAGGCCGCACTTGATTGACCTCGCTCATTCACATTTATCGAATGCAATCGAGGTGATGGGGAATCAAATTTGATTGAACCATCTTTTCTCAGATTAATTCCTCTAATGTAGGTCATTGTATACTTGGTACATTCTTTTTCACCACTCTTTTCAGCCTAATCTGACGTATTCTATAGGCTCCTCTGAGACTCTGTCCCCTCGTCCCAAGTGAAATTAAAGAGTTCTTATGGAGCACTTGTCAGTGCCTTCAGGAATCACTGTCTCATTAACTTACGTGCTTTAAGTGCGGCATTCACCTGGAAACTCGCTATGATCCTTTAGCTATAAATGTTCCTCATCCCGCTTAATCTCATCGAGCTCTTATATTCGAAATTGGGGATCGATGCCATTTTCAACTCGAATATTCGCCAACGCAAAACACCTACCTAATACGGACAAAATGAAATTTCTCCTATTACTCCATCTGCTGAACGGAATCATGCCCTGGTTTGCCAATGCGCATGTGATTATGATTTCACCTGAGCCTTACAGCAAGGACAAAATCAACAATTCTCCACTTGCCGCAGATGGCAGTGATTTTCCCTGCAAGCTGCAGCCGAGCGATTTTGAGATTCCGCTGGAAGAGACTGTATACCGCATTGGCGAAAACTACTCGATTAAATTCCAAGGAAGTGTAGCGCACGGTGGAGGCTCATGCCAGGTGAGCCTCACCTCTGACCGGAAGCCTACAAAGGATTCGAAGTGGAAGGTCATTCATTCTTGTGAAGGAGGCTGTCCTGCGAATGTAGCAGGAAACCTCCCCGGTGATGCTCTTTCTAAGATTTTACCACCACTTAATTTCACTATACCATTGGGACTCCAGCCTGGAAAATACAGCTTGGCCTGGACCTGGTTTAACCGCATTGGTAATCGTGAAATGTATATGAACTGTGCTCCTGTTACGCTTGTGGGCAGTGCTTCGAATGATGACCCTATTTATCAGAGTGACCTTTTCTCTGATCTTCCTAACATGTTCATTGCAAATATCAATGGCTGCCAGACCAGAGAGAACATAGACATCCGATTCCCGCAAGCTGGGGGTTCTGTTGAATACCGCGGTGAAGCATCTTATCTCGCCGGTATGAATGAGCCAGCATGCATTGGTGACCCGGCATTTGGTAGATCTACGGTTCGCACAAAAGGATCTCCTATAAAGCATCCAACAGCTACCTCGCCGGTTCAGTTTTTGACTTTAGCGAGGCCACAGAGCTCATCATGCCGCTGCCGCTCGAACAAAAAGTGGGATTAGGCATTTTGGAAAGACACAACATGATTTGCGGACATATCTATGGCTTGCTACTACAACTCGAGCCCATCTTGCAATCACACTGAACCTGTTATATTTTGCCTTATTACGAAATCAGAAAATCAGATTTTCTTCCTACTATTGATTTTCCCGCAACACAAGACCTTTAATCCGGAGGATAAACAATGAATGACTTCATTCGACATTTTGGCGGGCCTTATGCGTACATTGACCTTGGCAACCGGAATGAAAAACTTATTTCAAGTATATCGCGCCAACATCAGGGTTGAAATTTTCACGTGTTTCAGTAGATTGGACGGATTTGTTGTCGGACAAAGACACCTCATAATCAGGCAAGTGACCCGGATCTCCGATCAGGACACGTACGATTGATGACTGGTTCAGGACTGTCTATAATTCCCCTGGTAAAGCTTTGCAAAATGCGGTGGATGTATGCTAGCCCTGGAATAGTGTTTACCATACCCTTTCGAAGCTTGAAATTTTTCATCAACTGATATATCCCTTGAACCTTGACTGTCAGACTTTGTCAACCGCTTATCGGTAGAGATTCACTGAAATTCTCATTACAATATATTTAAAGACATTTAAATCAGACTCCCCTATTTTACTTGATTTGAATGAAAGATGTGGACGCCTACTTTGAGCTCAATTTATTTTATACTTACCAAGTGATTTTATGGCCTATTAGAAGGATATGTCAACAATAGAGACTAGCTATATGACTAATATTCCTCTCTGGGAATGGCCTAGTCGGTGTGCCCCTATGTCCTTATGCTGTTGTGTAGTAATCCTGAATATGACTGGAAAAACCGAATCGCAACACACATTTATATCAACCAAAGGCTCATTCCTCTGACCTTCAGCTTTAGCATCATACTTTACCAATTATGTCTATTGGGTCTTCTCTTACTAGCCTCAACGGGTATCCTATCATCCGTTGGGATAGCTTTATACTGGGGTACTATGTAATATGACTGGAATTCTTTTGATACGTGTTCATGAAGATAGATCTCAGTGGCGTGAATATCTTTCATCGTCTTCCCTTTGTTTTGCATAGCGCATATTGTGCTGCTTGTACATCCCATGCTTTTTTCATCGTTGAATCAGTTATAGTCTGACCAATCATTTGAATTAATCCTGACCTTGTTATACAGCTATAGCTACCTCAGCAAAGCCCGGCGTCAATATCATCAATACCCGTCCACTTCAACTTCACCTTGAGTCTTCCGCAGCACATTTATGAACCGTTCGCCGGAATATAGGACTCCATAGATGCCCTGAATATTTTCTTTCCGCTATTTGCGAGCCTTGGCTCCATGAGAGTGTAAATGCATAATTTGTGAGATGGGATCCGCCGATTGGAAAACATTTCGGAGGGCCGTTGTGGGAGAATTTGGCTTGTTTTCAAGTACATATTTGCACATGTTTGCAGGGCCAACTTGTGTGATTGAAATTTTGACCTTTCCAATCTGGCACTAAGCGTTGTACCTCTAGTATTCATCGTCAATGGTCACGCGTCTTGAATAAGTGAATCCCTCGACGGCCTGATCATTTTAAAAATCCGTCGAAATATTGTGTTCCGTGGGACTTGATGAAACCGACCTCAGTCTTGAGAATGGACCGCTATCGATACAGGAGCTCGGGTTGACGCTTTTCCCAAATAAGCCATCATTTAATCTCAAGGGCTCTGGTTCTAAAAGTCTGACATAATCTGTTCTTTTGATAAGCCCACGTATTAAGGATCTGCACCTAGTCTCACCAAAATTGGCGCATACTATTTGCCAATGGTCTAGGCATACAATAACACTGTATCCAGCTATATTTGATCGAGGTAGGGTCCCAGGCAACTAAGGAGCTCATCTTTTAAACGACTTTCACCCATCATGACTTGCTCCACGGCTGAACGATCAAAGTGGTTGCGAGCAGTGACATTAGCACCGCATTGGATCAAGTACTTGACAGCTTGATCCAGCCATTGAAAACATACATCCATCAGCAAGGTAAATGAATTGATCTGTATGGTTGTAATCGCATCCTGCGCACATAAGAGCATCAATTGAATCCATTGAGGGGGCTCTGAGAGCATATGTCCATGCTGCATTTTTGAAATCATTGATCTGGTCTATATAGTAGATTTGATTGAGGCAAATTTTGCAATATCTCCTCAATACCTTTGAGGAGGTCCGGAGGACAGCCTCCTACGGCCACGTGGAGAACAGTCATTTTGCGCTGTCTTTTTGAAATATCGCGGGTGGATTTCGCCGTAAATATAGGCTGCTTATATGGTATAGCTTGCGAGAAAGACAGCCATATATGTAGTGTAGGCAATCCGAACGTTGCGCATTTGTGGACAGCATCACGCAATACATTTGCTGGTTGGCCTGTGTCCTCAAAAAATGAAAAGAAAACATCAAAGTTTTGTAATACATAAAGTCGTCTTAAGGGTCATCAAAGTGTGTTGAAGAATCTGAAGCAGGCGAAGGCTCGACCATTGATTATCATTGAATACTGCAGCCAGAGCATCCAGATTGCGCAGCGCCGGTCAAATATTTTCCGCTAAAAAGCCAACGGAATTTAAGAAAAAGTCCCACTGGGCAAATGTAAATGAAAGAACGTCTCGCATAGACAGGCGCTCTAGCACGTTTTACAAGAGCTCGATGGGGAGAGGTAAGATGGTAGTTGAAGATCCTGAATAGCTTCTTCTGATCGGCCTCTGGGCCTGTGGTCGTCCTTTGTGAGCAGAGCGACAATTGGTGGATAACATATTCATTTTGAGAATTGGCATAGCCACTGTATTGAAATCCGACATATGTTTTGGTGCACGTAAGAAGAAGGTGAAACAAAGAAAGCCTCTTCTTTCTGTGGAGTATAGTACTGTATCAACTGGGCCGTCAAAGGGAGTCGGTCACTACAGTATCTATGGGCAGAATTCCCTATAGAAGACAAAATGGGTCGACCAAATAAAAATACCATGAAAACGATCATCGGACAGGAAATGGTGAAATTTTCCATCGGCACCATGAATATTGTCATCAGCCAGTGATTACAAGTACGTGCATTAGGTGCTGCTTGGCTCTTGCAGCTACAATCCTGGGATCTGCAAATCAGCTCGCTACTCGCTATGCGCTATGTGTATAGATTGGTGAAATTGGATGGAGAATGTGGCTTTTTATCTTTGAAATTGATATGACGCTGATTATGGCACGAATATGTGAAACCTTTACAGGAGCTGTTTGATTATATTATCGAGAGTCGAGACTTTGGCAGGTGACCCAAATTGGCTCAGGATATTGAAATAATTCTCATTAAGCTTCGCGATCCTCATTTAAATCACAAACCAGATCTATACTCCAGAATTGGCATCAAGTTCCAGATTGACAGCGTGCACTATGCATGGATGTATGACTTGACATGACTGCTCACTTTTATCTCCAGGATTAGCGTATATCCTCAGTTTACTCTGTGTCATTCTAGCAAATAATCAACTGCCAGATGCTCTGAGAATGACAATGAGAATTGACTATAAGAGGCTGAGTCAGACCTAGACACGACTTCGTGACTAGCAAGCAAGGTTCTTCCTTCCTGGCAGGTGACCTTCCCTTCTGATTCACTTTCCACTTTGCTGTGAGCTTCTTGAATATATTTTACGTTTTCATTCTACAAAGCCAAGAAGCCAATGGATCAATCCAGCAATACAGCTTCTCTTCCAGATCTATACGACAAACACCATACACACTATCAAGATTTGGGCTGCGAAGACCAAGTTTTCATGCTGATCATATTCATTTTCACCCTAATTTCGGGGCAAGCAAATAGATCTTTCCCTTTTAACTCTATGAGAAATTGGGAAGCCTCCCATCAATATGCACCAATGAGTAAAGCGAAAGTGCATCACTCAGATCTCCCACCTCAGAAGACCAGATCCGAGGCATTGCAAAAACTCAATGTTAGTCAGAACCTTCCGGAGCTAGAATCACTGTATCGAAGACAGAGGCACACCTTGAATGTGTACCAACGATTTTCAAAATCGTCGTCGGTTCCATATATCCTGACCAAGTTCCGAGGGATATCACGAAAGTTGAAACCTGGAATTATTCGACTGAAGCGTGTTTTGGAAAAAGACTCTGGCCGTGTCTTTTTAGACCTCATTCGCTTGACTCTGAGGAATGATGAGAACGTGCAGAATTCAGTCCTGAATATCTGCAGAGGAATAGCACTCTTTAAAAATCAGATCACTACAGGCAGCCAGCTCAATATTCAGAGACTCACAGGTCCTCTTTCACTGGCATACTCTACACATGCAAGGGAGTCGAAAGGCCAAAAAGAGATGGGGTTTTTGACTCTTTTGTCTCTTATTGCAGATCAATATGCCTCTCCCAAAGCTTAAGCTACCTTGCTCTTCTTCTAAAAAAACTCTTTTCCCTGGCCTATGCAGGTGGGACCTCTGGATTTATCCTCTCCGTCGATTAATTTTTCAATACTCCGCGTTGTGAATTGGTAAAAATCCATTTGTGATTATTTATGAAGACTGTGTCCGTTGCAATGCCGTTCTGATTCCGGTTTGGTTCAATTTATTTCCTTACTGCGTACAGTATAACAATGGGCGTAGATTCCAAGTGTTTGGCATGTCCTATGATCCAAAAGTCAAGAACTATCCTTTTTCCCTTCGCCTATAACTTATTCTGCGTAGAGAATCTGCTATGGGTAAGCTCCATCAAATCGTTTAACTCGCCATCTTTCCGATCGCTGTGAGATCTGGCAAAAGACAGTATGCATGAAGGGAATAGGAGCTAGAATGATGAAATACCCCATCCAAATTTAACCTCATTTAAGTCCTGCTCACTTTGTTGAGATTTTGAAAGACCTTGGTCTCTGTCCTAGCATCAGATGATTGATACTATATAGGGACGAAATATTAAGAGGGCGCTTTGGCAGCCGCGTAAGGACTATGATTTATTGTTGTATCTCTTTCAATGGATGTGTGGTACATAAGTCCCACCCGTGCACTCATACGATGGGTTTCATGATACATGTACTTCTCCAGAAAAAAAGCCATCAAAAGCAGATTTGTACAGTATACATGTACTGTACTACAGTCATTCTCGAAATCGGCTTGACCAATGTACTCTTCGACTCTCTTTCCCGGCTCCACCGCCAAGGCCTTAGCGTCCATTGTTAATTGAGCTCACCCTATCAAGTTGCGGTCCGGTGTGATCTCCCCGAGCTTGCACGGTTCCCCTCAGCTTTATGCGTCCAGCCCAATAGATGTTCCGCGCTAAATTCTTGGTAGCGGGGCCAATAAAAATAATCGAAGAGTGTACTGGTCAAGCCGATTTTGAGAATGACTGTATAGCACGGGCGCCCAGCACTTTCAAATCTTGTTTACTTTTCACCAATCTAGCTAGTCCAAAGCTCTAGCTCTTATTTCTTGATTATCGCCCCAGGCGCAGGTTCTATTTGAGGCATTTTCATGTGAATTTTGATTATATATTCTTCTGAGAGAAATTTTATTAAAAGATTTCGTTACCTGAGGAGTGCTAGAGGTCATAGGCAACTACTAATACAGTAGAAGATTCTTCAAAGCGGGACCTTCAATTCAAACAAGAGGCTATAGTAGAGCTAGGTGAACCGGAGTAGCCCTGGACGAGATAATTTGCATGGCCCTGCTGTGAGGGACGCTTGTGTATTGCTCTCTACTTGCGAGGTGCGTACTTCACCACTCTCTTCACCACTCTTCACTCCTTCAACCCAGTCTCAATTGTCTATCAAAGTGAGGCAAATTCGAGAGCATATTATCTAAGAATTCACGAGACAGTGAATGTTTTCTCTCGCCTTAAACTGTGGAGATAGATGATTTGAGGCCCGTATTGAATTCTTAGATATTGATGGTCCCCTGAAACCGGTGAGGTGTTTACGCATCCTGTCAAGTATACTTAATTTCTCTGGTTATCGAGGCTCCCCTCCAATTTGCCATGTCTCTTGGAATTAACATTCTAACAAAGAAACTATGCACGGCTTAAAAGACTTTTATCAGAAAAGGGTCCATGCATTACTGCCCGACGTAACATCGCATTCTTCCCAGGACAACTCTCGTCCCCTCCTTCCCGAAGGCCCAGCCAACAGACTTTGGGCAACAATATTTCATGACGATGAATGGCTGCAGAAGGCTTCCGAGCTTGGTGCGAGCCCTGTGTTGATTGCGCCCGACCTGGACATGATCGGAGGCGTTAGTCCAACCCCTCGACGGCATCACGTCCTCCTGGTAACTAACGACCGGCTGGGCAATCTCAAATTACCAGAAGAGCTGCTTTTCAGATCCCTGCGAACAGGGTATACATACAATCAGACAAAGTCAACAATCACCCTGCCGAAAATGGTGTTCAGAACTGCCGGTGGCCAGAAGATTCCGGTTTCAGAATTGGTTCTTCACATTGGCCAAGCGATGCATCCCTTGAATAGCATCACACTTCGGAAGAAAGAAATTCGACGACTTTTTGACCCCGTGGCTTTACGGACTCAGTTTTGCTTTGCGTCCGAGAAGAGACTTCGCACCGTGCATGCCTCAGACATATACGGAATTGGAGGAAAGGTCTCGGAGCTAGGGGCTCTCGTTCCGATCTGCGTGTTGCACCTGCTCTGCCACGGCAAAAGGTGGCCGGTCATTCTGCGAACACCCAAATGCCCTGATCTCACGCCGCTCAGCATCGAGGGGATAGAGCACTCCATTGTCGGGTGGAAACGTCCATGAGGAATGAGATGCAGAAAGCGCCCTGTGCCTACCTTAAAGCCATCTATCTGGACAGGTCTTCACAGAAAGGCTCTGGCCTGTCTTACTTGGCATTGAGATACCCTCATCAATGCGGGTGCAGTGGTCGCCTTGTCAACGGCAAATAGGCTTTCTACGCCATAGGGCCGCATTGGCGGGAAAGCAATAGAGCGGGTGGGTAGCTATATACTATCGTGTTTACCATTGAAATTAAGTCTATTCGTACATCATAATTTTGCTCTGAATTCTCCGTTCCAAGGATGTGTCGCTTGGAAACTGAAAAGGATTCCATCACATACATAGGCGTAGTTTCTCAACGATGATTTTCGAGCAAATTCGCCTGAGACTAGCTTGCGATGCTCTCAGGGTACACAGGATAGAGCCTTTTTCTTCCATGATATATTCTTGTACACGGGATGAGCTGCGCCTAAATTATAAGTGGATTAGCCATATCTTCCCTCATCGGCGCTGACTACAATCGCTGATGCAATCTGCTCTCGGCTTCACTTCTATTTTTCACATATGCTTCTACTAATGGCAGTCCACCGGGGAAAAAGTGGTTGAACATTTTATTATTAGAACTCTAGACTGCAGTTCCTAAAGAACGTAAAGAAGATTGATACGCGTATATCTAGTTTCTCTGATAAGGACTCAGAGCGACTTTCGTAAGTTCCTGTTCAAATGAAAGAACACTAATTCCAAAATGCAAGTATACGATAACTCTATCTATGAACAAGAGGCCGCCCTGTTCTGCACTATCAAACAACAAGGGGTTGCAATATGAACCGACTAACAGTCCATCATACTGGTCTCGGTTCGTGTGGCGTCAGACTTCGGAGGTGCCGTGGAATTACTCGCAGGAGTACTGGTAAGTGGCGCTGGGACGAGTCTGCGCGGGAGCAGGGGTGGAACGCGAGGGCAGCGGAGTCTCCGTGGATATGTTGGTTGGGGGTGTTGCCACTGGGGCCTTTTGAGTGGACCAGCCATCCTCGAGGGCAGTGCAGATGCTTCCAACGTGGAAGTCTTCCCCGATCGTGCAGTTGGCCGTGTTCCCTGCCGTATTTTGGAAGATCAGTAGACCGCTCTGATCGGCGACGATGTATGCCTGTTCGTGATCGGTGTCTCGGGCGGGACCGCAGGCCGTCACATTGATTGTGTCTTGGCGGAGCCAATTGCCATTGTTCTTTACACTGAGATCTGAGTTTGTCAATCAAGAACGGTATGTATCGTGTAGGAAATTGATGAATTGATACTCACGAGAGCACGAGGTGCCGTTGAGAGGGCCAATGGGCTTTGAGGAGCCTGTGCAGCCCCAGATACGGTTTGAATAGATATAACACAGGCCATCAACGTCTATAATCTCGAACGTGCTGGCAAGGGCTGCTGAGCTGAACGTGTAGATAATCAACAGGAGACGCATGGTGCCGTTTTGGTCAAGGGGTCACAAGCAGAGGAAAACAAGGTGGATTCGCTCGACTTATATATCCTGTCGAAATGGCCTTGTGCTGTCGGAAAATGAGGCTCGCAGCAAATCACGCAGTATCCCTGCTGTTGGTAGACTCATGGAAAAAACCCGCAGATATGGAGAGGCGTTGCCGCACCACGAAGAGGACAGCGAGCCAGCTCCTTTTTGAGCCATCCTCATTTTATACCCTACCAGACTTGCTATACCTTGAGCAATCTGCGGCGTTTACCAACAACGGCTCATCTCTTTTAACGTTAAACATGGTGGGAAATGTGGGTGAGACTCAACAATATTTCCTAAAAGACTTTACTACAGTATTTTCTCTCTTGTCCGCATATTGCCTGTCTTGTTTTATTTTTCCATCATTTTCCGTTCTTGTCTGCGAGCTATACACGACTTTTAATGAGCCTACAGTACAAGATCAAGAGCTTTTGCCCGTTTGAATCCCATAATCCATTCTCAGTGATGGAATTTACTCTCCTCTATCCTTGGGTGGCAGGGGGAGTGCTTCTAGTACTTCTCACTATCCGAGTGGGCCCTTTTCTCTGGAGTCTGAAACCTATCATTTCCCTCATTGGCGCAAAGCGCCTCCTATACCCGACATTATCCTGTTATGGACAACCATGCATGTGGAGCCCTGCCGATGCGCTGATATGCCTGGCGTACCTTGCCGTCAATGTTCTATTCATCGTGTTCGGTGGGCTCTCAGCCGTATCAGCTGGTCGCCGTGCCGGTGCCCTTTCCCTGATGAATATGGGCCTGCTCTATCTGAGCCCGAGCCTTAGTCTTTTCGCATACATCCTGGGCCTGTCTATCAAAATTTCAACGCGCATGCACCTTTTGGCTGGCTGGATGACAGGCATGCTCCTTGCTGTCCACGTGGCAGCGACGCTGCTTTCTCGGCCGCAGGGGTGGAGTGTCCAGGAAGAGCCCCATCTCCACGGTCTGATTGTTCGTCTCCGCGCTCTGTGTCCACTGCCCATACTGAAATTCAATAGGGGGCGATCGCCTTGGCTGTGATCCTGTCATTGACACCTTCCGTGATCCGTCGACGATTCTACGAACCGTTCGTCCGATTTCATCAGACACTGGCCATCCTATGCGTGTATTGCACGTGGCGACATCTTCCGTCCGAGTATTTGCTGCCCCGGCTGTATCTGTATATTCCGCTCGTCGCTGGTTCAGTCTCGCTGTGCGCGCATCTCATCCGGTTGGTGTACGCAAATGGCATCTTCCCCCCCGCGGCTGTCTGATGCTGTGGTCACATGCGACCCTTCCGCCTGGGACACGCCACGGTCTCACGCGGGAATGCCGCTGATTATCCGCATCACTTTGCCAAAACCGTTGAAAGTGGATGCGGGCCAGTACGTCAGCCTGTGGCTCCCCACTGCGAGCCTCCTCTCATGGTCGCAGACACACCCCTTCATGGTGACGTCGTGGTCTCCGGAGCGACAGGAGGTGCTAGAGCTACTGGTTCAATCCCGGGAGGGTCTCACATCGACCCTGCGGGCTCGCGTAGCTTTGGGTGGACGGGTCTCACTACCGGCGCTGATCGATGGGCCTTACGGAATGTCCCGGACGGTTGACGGATTCCAGTCCGTCTTGGTGATAGCCACGAATTTCGGTATCGCTGGCGTCATTTCGTACATGACGAAGCTGGTCTACGGGTTCAATACCTGCAAATTGCAGGTCCGTCGACTACGCCGACTCCGCTTGGTGTGGGAGGTACAAGACCTTGGTGAGCTCTTACCTTGCTAGATCCGCCGGATTTGGGTCTGAGGCTGACTGTGTTAGATATTGCAATCGCCGCACAACCATTCCTGAACAGTCTATTGAATGATGACATCCAGGACGATGGCTATGTAAGAATCCTCTCTTCTCGCCCACGTTGTTGGATCCACTGATTGTTTGCAGATCATCGATATCTCCTTCTACATGCCGCCGGGGCGGAATCCAGAGCGATTCGGTCGTCACCGCCGAGTGACGGTCCTCAGTAGCAGACCTAACTATAACGAAATCATCGCGGCCGAAGCCACGGGTCAATGTATCAGAAGGGTGGAAGGGATTTATGAGGAGCGTGGCAAGACACTGGTGATTGGTAAGTCATCCATCTCGCAGAAGGAGTACTTGCTTACTTTTTAGCGTCGGTTTCGCCTGACGTCCGAAACACCGTGCGACGGGCAGTTAGGGTGTATCTCGACCGACAAGTCCAGCTGTACGAGACGGAGTATCAGCCGAACTAGGAGAGCGATTAGAATTTAAACCGGCGGATCGGTAGCTTGGTTAGAGGAAAGGGGGATGGAAATATCACGAGATGCTTTCATCTAGCGATTAAACTATTAAATAGAGTAAAAATTCAACAGCGAGCTCTTGTCTTATCCACTACACCTGGATTAAATCCCCCCCAAATATGATCAAATCAACTACGATGACTCTATTATCCGCGCTGTACCTCCATTTTTCCATCACATTGCTCGGCCTGTGGCTTACTATATTCAGGATGTCTAACGTCTCGCGATTAAGAAGGCTGCCTACTGTGACCTATACTACCAATTCAGATAAATTGAGACCATTGATGAACCACACCTCAAAGATAGCGATCGTATTTTCAGTTGGCGCTCACTTCTCGGGAGAGAAGAACACCCTAGCAGAGAGTAGGACGGCCCGAGCAAGCAGGACTAGCTCCCCGACCAATCGATGCTGCTTACGAACAAGCGGATGCTAAGAAGGGTGAGCACGTCAAGGCCATGAAGGTGAAAGATCTGGCATGCCTACCTGTTTTAGCGTTGCAAAAGAGTCCGAGGTCCAAATGGCGCTCAGGAAGCCAAACGCATCCGAGTCCAACGGCCAGCGATGCACATCGTCGATGCCCACCACCCCGTCCTCCTTGACGTACTTTTGCATCAGCTCCATGGTGACGCAGGCGAGGGCTTGGGTGTATGTTCGCCGAACCCGATCCGCAGGGCTTTCGACGCACGATTCGAGTGCTCCTATTTCAGGTTAGGCGGACCCGGGTACAACACATCCGCATCACTCACCAATCTTGACAATCCCATCCAGCCCGAGCAGAATGTGCTGGCACGACAGAGACCGATGCTCCAATGCCGACTGGGCGAGGTAGTCTATGCCATTCAGAACCTATCATTGTCAGTCGATCCCGGTCACCGAGGTATGAAGGACAACCTGCCTGCCATACCATAGAGGCCAGTTCAGTCTCAGTCGGGTAGAGGAATCGGCAACCCACAAGGTGCTCCAGGGTAAGCGGAAGGTCATCGACGAGAGGATACAAGCTCCCGTTATCAACAAAACACTCCCGTGCCGTGAGGACATTGGGATGATTCAGCTTACGATATAGCTGCAGCATCTTGTCGGCGTTGTCCTGGCCGTACTCCCGGATGGCCACCACCTGCGACGGGCCGGCACGCCGAGCGGCGATGAGCACATCCCCTGCCAGCTTGCACCGGAGTGTTCGGCGGTAGGTGTTCCAGGGCGATTCCTGCCTCACGAGAAACGTGCCGGACAACTCTTTCCCGTCCCTCTCTTGGAGTAGAACCAGCTTCTTGGGGCCCCCGGTGACCACTTTCTTAGTGGCATCGTCTGGCATAGACACCTTTCGCTTCTTGGTGGTGCCAGATAAGGGGTTCGCCGTGATCCGTAGAGCCGGCGTGTCACCCGTATCCTGTCGATGTGGCTCCGCGGCCTGTCCGACTTTTGGCTTATAAGGCCTGAAATCGATCTCGGTGCAGCGCTTATTCTGCGTAGACATGCCGACTTCGACTGGGAGAACGAGATTGAGATACTGTGGTATGTCCGTGCTGCCTGGTGCTGGAATGAAATATGTGGAGCATTTGCGCCATCGATCTCGAAGATCTCAACACTCTTGGTTGGAAGATCTCACCACTCTTGGTTGGTCATCGATTCTGGGCCCCGTTGAAGTCCAGGACGTGTGTCCACGCCCGTGAATCCTTGGCAGACAGTACATACATCTATCCCAGATTAAGAAGATGGCTGAGATGTGCGCTGGGGTCCACTGACCTCCGTTATGGCCAATTTTACAACCACAGATGATGAACAGCAATTGGCGGCGGAGCGACATCGCAAATTCTGGGGCACTGCCAAAATCGCCATCCGCCAAATCATTCCCCATCCTTCCATTTCGCAGCGGTTGGACCAGCGGAATGTCCAGCGGCTTTGTGAGATTTTTGAAAAAGAGGGCTGTCGGAGACTTGCCGCCTACAATCACGTCACTGCGGTTGTGTCGAAACACCATTTGGACGACGCGCTACAGGCTGCACGGGTGGGTCCTGCAGACACTACCGATAACCCCCACCCCTACCCTCAGCTGCATTTCGCTCGTGGGCAGGTCCAATGCCTCCACGGGCAGCATCGGCTGAGGGCTGCAGAGGTGCACCTACCATCCTGCGATCAGTGGTGGACAGTGGACGTGTATTTGGATGGTAGGTACCTGGAGTGGCTCAATCTGCGATCAAAGAACTAACAGCTTCCAGACATAAGTCCCGACCTCTACAACTGGCTTATCGATGAGTACTCCAACGAACGGTTGCAGAGTGACGGTGAGATCTACCGAAGAATCCGGCAGTACCAGCGCGAGGCGAATGCCCATTTTGAGGCCCGGTGGGTGGCGCGACTGTCGGAAAACAAAGCCAGGCGGCTTCGGGCGCTCGAATCACGTCCGCGTATCCGGACCGCCTTTGACTGTCTGCTGGCCCTGCCGGCACTGCTGGTGCACGGGATGCAGATTGGGTCGCTTCCAGAGGTCCTGGCCTCAAACTGTGACGAGGTGAGGATGACGCGGGGATTCGTAATGGCAGATGCTAACCTGGTTTAGGAGATCTGTCACGCTCTAACCGAGCTGTATCGGTACTGGTCCTCACTCGTGGGGGATGACCCCGCTAAGATGCTCCGAATCGATGTCCATACGGTGAGCACGCTGCAGCTTCTTGCCCCTGGCGTGTCCTCCACGGACAGGGCTCACGTGAAGGGTCTTGTGCGGAGCGGGGCGGTCTTTGCCAATTTCTCGACGGCTGAGAGGGCATCCATTTGGAAAGAGATGAAGAGGCCGAGTGTGATCATTCCATCCCTAACGTCATTTTTCAAAGACGTCCGATTCCTGAAGTCCTGTGCCAACGGCGTGAAAATGCTGGTCACGCCTTCTGAGGATTCCACGACCATAAGGAAAGCGCTGCGGGCTGCCTTTCTGTACAACGACGCGGAAAACGCGACTTACTCTGTGCAAACCTCCGAGACAACGTTCCGGCGCTATTGGAACCCGCAAAGTGATGCCGCAGAGCTTTCGTATCGACAGCTGTGGCTGTATGCCATACGTCATTATGCAGAACTCTCCAAGTCATCGCTCAAAAAAGATGCCGCAGGAAAGTTTGGCCACAATGATGAAGACCCACAGGTGCTTCATGGGATGGCTGCTCTAGCAAAGCGGCTTGGATTCCAAACGCCCCAGATCGAGGAGCTCCTCCAACAATCACCAGATCGCCTCATCGCGCGAAACGCACTCCTGCACGCTCGGCCGCACGACCGCTTTCAGTTTCATGACGGAGAGCTCGATCGTCTCGTGGAGCGGATTACCGAGTGCTTCTCGTTGGCGGTCCCACGTCGCTGTCAACCCGCCGTGCATCCGAGTGGGAGGGAGGTCAAGAAGGTGGCAAGGTGCGGGTATCCGGCTGCCCAGGCTCAGGTGCGGGATCAACCTTTTCTTTTCGTGGATCACCTCAACGACACCGAGGTGCTTGATACGACGAAAGTGACCTCTCTTTTCGTGCGATGGAATTTCTACAAAACGTTCTTCGGTAAAGTATCCGTGCCCGGGAAGGATGATCGGACGACGAGATCCGACAGTATCGGCGTGCTTCCTTCTCCCCTTCTTGTTCCAAGCTTAGCTAGTGAGAGTAGCGACGAGGATGGCGGGTCTGTGCACCATATAGCCTTAGAGCTCGCCCGATCAAGATACAACCACTCGAAAGACACACCCCGGAACAAAGCTAAGCGGAAGAGGCTTCAAAAAAAAACACCCGCCACAATCTGATCCTCAATCCTCTCACCCAGAATCTGTTGTCATGGTTCCATCAACAACGAATTCGCCTCTTCAGCTTGAAATGGAGATAGAGGATCTCGATATCATTCTACCAGTGGGGAATGGACCGGAAGTCGCGGACCAGGGAACTCATGTGGCTGGTGTAATCGGTGGTGCAGTCAGTCATGATGCTTGTGGAGGAGCAAATTCCCCTCGCTTTTTGGAATTGGAAATCAGCAATGTGGCCCATAGTTCTCAAAAACGCCAGTTCGAGCCAAAGACCACAGAGGTATTGGAAGTATCAGAGGGGAGCGGTGATGAATCGACAACGGAGCAAGGACTGGTAGATGACGGTAAGGAAGTAACCCTAGCCAGGAGCCAGTCTCCAGCCGATCGAGTTATGGAAGAACATACAAGCATAACGGGATCGCAAACGACGGAAGAGTGGAGTAAATCCGGGGGCGAGATTGAGAAAACTTTATACGCATTGGAGGGTCGTCGATCACGGAGCGGGACAAAAAGAAGTTCTCGTTTGAGCAAGAACCGAACAGACGTTAGAGAAAAAGACAGATGGAAGCCATACGATCGCTCACATCGGAGGCTGCAAGCTCGGGGATCTCCCATGCCTCCTCACCGGGAATCATTAGAGCAAGCAATTAAAACTCTTCTCCAAGCGGCAGACTGGCCATCCGGAGAGTCAATGATCCAAGACGGTCATGGCTCAGGAACTCAAAGACACCCAGAAGATAGGCAAAGCAAACACTCTCATCGTGCAGCGGAATCCTGGATGGCCGAGTGGGCAGAGATAGCGAATGGCAACCCGTATGAGTCCACTTACACTGGTGCACCAATACAGACTAAGAGCCGCTCCCGGAGCCCAGACCGAGAGGAATTCCCAGCGCTAGACCCTACCAATTTCTCTCCAGAGATAGACGTTCATTCCCGGCTCAATCTCTCAGTTACCCCACACCGCTGGGACCAGAGACAATATCTAGGACTACAAAAGGTAGCCTCCCAACTCGCAGCGCCCTTTGGAGCCCGGGAGACAGAGACGGATCCGCGAGAAAATAACACCGAGAATATCAGTGATTGGGAAAAGATCACCACCAGAACACTGGCTTCTGCTGGACATGCCAAATGCGTGATTTCATTTCTTGCCCCTGATAACAGGGGCGAATGGAGTCATCTTGTGCACAAAGTGACAGTCAATCCGTCTGATCTGTCCCCGGTCGCCCAAGTTGCGGCGAAAGATGCCCGGGAACGACAGGCGGTGTTCTACGACTGTCATTTGCATCAGCTCCATCCCGCCCGATGCGTTGATGCTGCAATAGAGGATGGGACTTATACGGTGTTTATAACCTTCGGTTACGAATTGGCTGTCAATGAGGATACAATGGCCTCGGTTGGACGAGCGCTCCAGTACCGCAACAGCCACCGTGGTCGGCCGATCCAGTGATCAGTTGTGGAGAGATTAAGCTCACGATTTTCAGACTATGATTATTTTCACCTGTAGACTTACAGCTATCGTTGCCGTCAGCTAGTATGTATCTTTTTCTATAGGGGCCTCACCACCCCAGACGTGTTGATCGCCTAGAAGTCGGCTGGTATGTCTTGTACAATTTACAGTGAGCCATGATTTTACCAGGTTTGGCTACTGTGGTGCTCCCAGGATCTACTTTGTTGTCTCCACCTGATCCGTTGAAGCCTGTATGTTTTGTTGGTTTGTTTATTAAATATTCTATAAATAAAATTCTCCTCCGGCTGCTGCACAAAAAGTCGCAAAGTTATATCTCTGTTCAGTCACTTTCGATTTCAAGACCAACTGAAATTCATACCGCCAGCATTCAACTCGATATTCATGCAGGGTATCTTGTTCCAGTCACTCAGCATCCACTCGGTTCCATCTGCAAACCATAATACATCAATGACAGGAACACCTCCGCTTTCTTTTCTGCGGCACACCCCATCAAAGCGGTATGTACTGTGGAATTCATCGTTTGTAGCCAAGATGCTAACCTGACAAGGGACCATCTCCGTGATTACAATGCAAGTCCTTTTCCGTTCATCTCCTCTCAGAATGAGCAGCTCGTGTGGAAATGGGATCAGGTCAAGCTCTGTGGGCGAATGCTCAACGTGGTACTACCCTCTACCCGGTTTCCACCAGGCTGTCCACGAAACGTTCCGGATGTACATGAGGAGTTTGTCAAGTTCACTAAGGGTCAGGTCATTGTGCAAAGTGCGGCGTATCTAGAGAGGTTGGAAGCAAATGGCTACCATATTGGAATATGCGCAGGAGCTCAGGCTGCGAGCTCTATCATCATCCTCCTGGGCTTACATGGTCCCTGTCGACACTCCAAGCTTAAGAGATTCTCTCGACATATAGGAGCGTATATTACAAACCTGCTTCCAGGGCTCACCTTGCAGAGCTCATTGCCATTTCACTACTGCTGGGCGACTGAATTTTGGGTTTCGGATTCCGTTATTGTGAATTGCAGGCCGGTAGAACCTTCTCTCTTGTCATGCAAAGCCTCACAGCCCCATGCACGAGATGGCTCGATGATGCTGTGCGTTGGTCTCCCTATGACGTCTTTCGGGCCACTGTTCAATACACTGGTGTCCACCTTGAATGTTGCGGCGGCTCGATTAGAGGCTCAAGCCGGATTTATCTGGATTGACGCTGCGGTGGATCCGAGCAACTTCACCATCGAGTGGGAAAGTCCTACCGAGCCGGTCCAAGATGGGCTGTTGAAAATGCTTGACCAGATTAAAAGATGTTCCTGGCTGGTCAAGGCGAAGCTGACGGTCAAGCTCGACAGATCCAGCGAGGCAGCCACGGTAATTCTTACTGAGCTCCACGAGATCTCTCAGATACGGGTCACATCTACCCACAAGCCAGTGACCCACTCATGATCTGATCATCAAAAGGAAATCCAGATGTGTAGTCCAGCTATGATTTCCAGTCAGGTGGGGCTCGGCCACTACTAGCATCTTTGATAGTTGTCTGGTAAAACCTAGCAATATTTTGTGCCTTGGCGAATCGAATTGAACAAGCGTGAGACACTCGTGGCATGCTTCCCCCATAGTGTAAGCACTTAGAGAGATCGTTGGGTGAAAACATCCAATTGACGTCCACCGTGCCCATTGACTCATGATATCTCTCCTGCCCAAACCAAAGAAACAGATGGAAGGCATTGCTATGTACTATTGTAATGGGAAGCTCTCTAGATTGAAGCTTCCAGGACCCATGGTATAGCTATGAGGATAAATCAAAATCACTGGCCAGACGGACACTTAAGGCACGACATGTTCTGGATCCTTTTCCATAGCTCTCCCGATAGATGATTGAGCCTTGTCTGGCCCATTTTTACCAATCCTAACCTTCCTACTCTATTTGCGGATCAAGATACCGGCCAGAGCGGGACTGTACTATAAAAGCGGACCATCCTCTCTGCGCCCCCGTACAACTAATGATCGCCGCATTCAACTCCGCCATAGCTTACTGGACCACCGGATTGCGGCGATCGATGAAATCTGATCTGGCTGCGTCGGATTCTCCACCTCGACTCATAGCATCAATACGAATGGCGAATAAAGTACTCGCCGCAATAAAACACTCAACACTCATCAGCACTTATCAACACTCAACACTCATCAACACTCATCAACACTCATCAACACTCATCACTCATCAACACTCATCACTCATCAACATACAATAAAATGCTATTTTTACAAAAACCCTTTTTCTGATCAAACATTTATCAACGGCGTTCGTTCACCGTTGATTCAGCGACTGCAATATCCTACACTGAGTTTTCCTGTGTTCTCCACACTAGGGAAGCAACACGCCAATTCCGCCCGGTGATGACATAGACTTTCTTATCTTGTTTGACTATTCTGCCTTGAATCTCCATCTTTGTTGATGGCGTGGGCTCTAAAGTAGGAATGAGGGAATCCAAAACATACGTAGATAGATGTAACGTCGACTCTACTTAAACTGAGTCGTTGGTCCCAGTGTATTCTACGAAACCGCTTTTTTTTCTCATTTTTAACGTTTCCTTCATCACACATCACATCCCACCTTACAGCACCATCATGACTGTGACCAGCTCATTCGAAGTCAAAGTAATTCCTAACAAGGAAGAATATGCTCGCTTAGTGGAGGTGCTATGGGTAGCTAATATGCACCCATACAAGTAAAAACCAGACTTCTTCCCCAATTTGACATTCAGCGCCTGATATTTTTCCAATAATAGCCCCGTCTTTACCGCCGTGCATCCGATAAGCGGACCCACGGCCGAAGATCGCGCCCGGGACAAAGCACTTGATACCGAAGTCCGGTGGAGCGCAAGTGAAAGGAACCCGTTCTCGCGTCTCGTCTACGTGATCGACAAAGAAACGGGTCGAGTAGCCGGTGGATGCGAATGGCTGATCTACCATGAGAATCCATTCCCGAACGGACCGCAACCTGTGAAATGTATCTGGTACCCTGAAAGCACGGAGCGAGCCGAGTACGCAGAGCGAATGCTCAATCAGGCACTCTTCCCACGACAATGCTGGTTTCAGCGACCACACGCGGGAGTGAATGCGATGGGCGTGCATCCGGATTATCGGCGTCAGGGGGTAGGGCGCTTATTGATGGAGTGGGGACATGCGATTATTGATCCGTTGGGGTATGAGAGCTTCATTGAGGGTAGTCCGATTGGAAGGTGGCTTTATGAGGAGTGTGGGTACCGGAGTGTTATGGGGCTTTATGTCGATCTGGCTAAGCCTAACCCGAGTGATGAATGGTCGCGGTTGATTCACGAGTGTAAACCGCCGGGGATTCTGTTACTTTGGAGGCCTCCACGAGGGGAGTGGACGGAGAAGGTGCCTTCTGGTCCGTGGGCTGTTACCGAGGATACTTTCACGTAGGGGTAGGTTTCGGCTAAGATGCCATGCTGATATATCGGGATATTGTGAATCATGTTACGTCCCAGAGTCACTTTAGTTCTCTCATACTTACTCAACATGGTGGAGGTATATCTCCCGTTAAATTCCGTAAACATTTGGGCGAGGACAGAAATCCCGCACGGTTCCAAACTGGGTTTCGCATAATAAACTGAAGACGTTTCTCAACAAGAACATGGCTGGATTGAGGGAAGCATACGAGGCATTGGGTCACCTCACATTGTGCGCGGAATTTACATCGTCTGTTTGGTAACCTTATATTCCTGGGACCCTGAGGTCATCTCAAAGCTGTGGACGTCAAAAAATGGGCCGGCTTCACCTTCCATTAGGTTCCCAATAGCAGCAACAAGATAAAAACTCGCATTATCTCCCTGGACTTATAGAGAGCCAATGTGCTAAATAAAGCTATCTGAAACTCTGGCCTTGGGCCAATTTCATGTCTTACATAGGGCTAATTATACCGTTTGTGAGACCAAGTCATTTTTAAATCGTTGGAGCCTGTCCCCACCACTTACCGAGAGGTTTATTAAGAGGTAACAAAACCAAGTGAAGCCATCTGCCCACCCACATACCGGCTATAAGCAGTCATCCTTCCAACCATAACTCTTTAATCAAAGCTTATCGGTGGGCTCCAAATACGGTGGTAGGTATTTCTATACCGAGACTTAGAATCTACTACCTTCGAAGAGAAAGATCTCTGTATAACGATTGTAGCTTGGTGCGCTCAACTCCATCCACCAGTTACTGCTTTAGCTGTATGAACCTGATATAATTTACTTATGTAGCCAATCAGAATAGATACAAATGCTGGTATATATCATCTACTAACCAGAAAGATATATTCGGTTAAGGTGGATCCCTGTCTGTTTACTATAATTGTTTATCTAGAACAAAGAGACCTACAAGTATAGCTGGGATAGCCAAGCAGTCTAGCTATTGCCCCTGATTTCTCAGACTTTTCTGACCTACCGTCCCAAGTTTACTATCCTATAGCCTGATTTTTCCCCTCTCCACACATTAAAGTCTGTGTTATTTTTACCTCGCCATAGCTAAGAACACTAGTGCTTCTTAGTATCTAGGGTTGTATAGTGACTCATGCGCGAATCCTGCTAATGCTTTATTATCTAGCCCGGAAGTCTACTATCCTTGTTGTATCTACAATTAATCATATTATTTGAAACCCTATTGCTATAGTCACTCTAGAGCCTTCCTTCCAGATATATAAATGACTCGCGCATACATTGGAGCAACGTGATGGATAATTCCTATTTTACTTGGGTTATGAAATGCAGCTGTAGCCGATCAGGAACCAAGCCGCAGTATCGAAATTAACAATAAATTATCTATACGAAGAGTCAAATCAATTAGGAATAAACTGATCTTCTCCCTGCATATGAAGCCTCGTTTTCCCCTCTGAATAACCTGTTCAATCGTTTTTTGACAATAACGGTTTGTCCTGAGACACAAGAGACAGGCAGATAATCAGCTTTCGGTCTTACGGCCTTAGGATAGGTGTTACCCTACTCAAATCACATCCTGAGGCAAATTTATCTAGAATGAGTATGTGCCTTACCGTTTGCCCAAGCAGAACAAGACTGCTTTTCTTGCTGATGACAAGCGTCAAAGTCTTCATATAGTTTATCTATTCTTGCTTTACTCGTTGGCGCTTGACTATGAACCTCTCAAGAACTAGGCGATACAGCTGAGGATAATAACATGCTATATATATATACTCATCGCAGGAACCAATTCCAATCTGCACCAGCCTAATATAACAACAGATATACATATAGATTCTAGCTCCCTATTGGGTCACGGTGTAGGAACATAAATCCTAATTCCATTTATAAAGCCATCGACATTCAATTGGACCGTCTCAGTTCATTCTCAAGGTCAGGGACATAAAAGACCCTAATTCGTGTCTCTATTGGATTGTCAGCGATTGGCTTAGCTTCTCTGAAATGAGTTAATTAGGGCCTACCAGGCTCTGAACGGTACAAAGTCCGGGAAAGCTTCACGTGGAACATCTTAGTAATAATGATCCTGTCGGCCTTGGAGTCTGTAACTTCAGCAATGTTGCCGATATGACGGTCCAAATCCTCTGTCTCACCCTCATGAAATGCCCTGGCAAGAGACTCAATCAGCAAGTCTCCAAGCTGGACTTCGTCATTTGGGGGAAGCCCCAGTGCAGCAGCTATTTTCGGCAACAAGAGCGGGTTCAGAGATCGGTAGCCTTGTTGATAATACGCTACCACCCTTTGGTCATTTCTCAAACAGAGCTGCCAGGGCAATGTTGAAGCGACATGGATCTCTTCGAGCTGAAAGGCTTGGTGAAGTCGTGTGATCAGTGCATTTAAGCACGGCATTGATAGCTCATCTCCAAACAAGGGCGATTCCTAGAGCCTCGAGGTCATCAGAGGTAGGAATGAGTCGTCCTGTGGCCAAGAGTTTTGATGTTCGTAGTTTTTAATCTCTTGAGGGCGAATGACGCCGAAAGCGAGGCAGATTAGCACAATGCTTGCTTTGATCCCGAAAGGCCGGTATGGGAAGTCACTCCGTTGGTAGCACATCTGTAAAAAGCTTGATCGCGGTAAAGAATAGATGCCGATGACGTATAGCAAGAATCGAATCTGCGACTCAATATCCGTCAAGGTCACGGCGTGCAGACCTTGAGCCTGGGTAAGAGCCCGACGTACTGAGAGCAACCAATACAAAACCTCATCATACTGCAAAAGAAACGCGTTCTCCCAATCCTGCTCCCGGCGACAAATGATCTGCCAAATTGTTGCCTCGTCCTCTGGAAGGATTTTGATCACACAGAGGTATCCCAGAACAAGGAGGAGCTGATGGAATGTAGGGACTGTGTGCTCACATCCAGGAGGACAATGCGGCAAACGCGGCTTAATTTGAGCGGGAGGGCAAGAAACCTTGGAATGTTTACATATGTTAGCGATAATGCGAATAAAAATGTGAGTGGGAGAGCATGTTGCCTACAGGAATTCTCATCTGGGGGAACGAGATGTCCGGGGGAAGTTTCAAGTCATCAATTCCTCCATGCGAGCTAGAGAAAATGCTTTCCTGGAACAGCGTCTCCTCATCACACTTGGTCTCTGCTCCAGGCATCACCTGGACATGCAGTAAGCCTGTAGATTCATATGAATCCCAATCCGGTGTTTTTAAAGAAAAGTCCCTATCTCTTCGCTCTGTGGAGGCTGCTTGATCCTCGTCCTCCGGTATTACTGGCGACTGCTCAGGCTGAGTATAAACTGCATATGAGACGCGAGTTGTATTGACGCACGCCTCCGCCTTTCCACGTATAATGCAGGACTGACAGGGAACAGCTTTATCACATTTTCTGTGCGAGCGGTGGCAGGATGTGCAAGCTCCCTCCATTTTTGGTTTGGTTGCTTTTGTCTTGGGTTGAGGCATAGGAGCAACTTAATACTGAGTAAACAGGACTTGTGACCAATTTTTGAAGAGCTGATTCGTTTAAGGGAATCAATTGTCGAAGAATGATAGTCAAAGGCTTTAGTCGCGAGACCCCTCTCACGTACACAGCGTCCCACAATGTTAACCACAGGGATAGTTGACTAGGCCAGATGGTATATGGATATTCCCGTTGAAGTCGATGTTGCTCCGGGTCAATTGCTTTTAATGTAGCCTGGGTAAGTGTCGTCGCATTTTGTCTGCTTTGACTCACAAGACTGCGACGATGTGGATGGCGTTCTAAGTGGCGCAACCTGCAGCAAGTCAGCGGAACCTTTAGAATCACTCCCAGGAGTAGATTCGGCAGTGTATTCGATTATTCTGGTCAAAAAGGGTGATCAAAGAATTCTTCAACCATGGAAAGTGTGCCGTAATTGGTTAGCCGCTTGATCCAGCGTCCCTAGTCTCATGAGCCTTGCAAGCCCTGGGAAGGCTCCTAGGATCATCAGGCTATAAGATCCACCCGAGATAAAATTTGATTAGTAGATCTGTGATGTTCTGAGGTACATACACCCTGGATCGAAATCATTTTCACCACTTACACATAGAGATTCTATCAGGATTATAGATTCTAGCAAACAAACTCTGACAATAGGCTCCGTGATTCACCTTCTAGAACCAGTAGATCTTCTTATAGCGCGTTATGACTAAAACATTATCGGGCAAGAGATTGCTTCTTATGCTGAGGAGCTGAGCTGTCATATTCCCTATGTTGATTCAACAAACACCACAAGAGAATAGTGGAGCTCTTCGATCTCGTGTTCCCAGGAGCTAGAGTCGGTCTAGAGTGAAGCAACTGGAGGATGGAAGCCGGTCCCCCTCTCAATTCAAGCTTTATATTCAAGCTTTATTCCTACTTCTTTCTACTCTTTCTCCCTCCTCTACTACTCTCTACTCTTTCTCCCTCCTCTACCACTCTCTTACTCCCAGATTCTCCTGGTCTAATCCACGGTAGCCTCTTGTTTGGTTTGTCACTAGATTCTCAACATTCCCTTCTCTGACCTCATTATTTGTTGTATGAGACGGCGTCAGTTGTTTGAGTCTACTATTGGAAGCATCACGGAGCATTTGATCCAAGTTTTCTCCTAAACCCAGTTTGCTCCCGACAACCCATTTGTAAATTCTTTTAAATCCTGGTCTAAAAAGGTTTTATTATTTCTTTTGTTCTCTCTTCCTGTTTGCTCCTGCTGGTTGGCACCTGGTGTGTGTGTGGTGTGGCTCCCGTCCAAATTGCAAACAAAGATAATCCTTCTTGATTCAACAAGTCTCTATTTCACCTATCGCACTTGCGATTGCGCTACAAAACCAGCCTATCTCACCGTCCGCCAAAGTGGATATCTCACTATTACTCAAGCCCCAAGATGAGGAAGAAGTCCCCTCTGGCAATCCTACCCCCCCTCTACCCTCCAAGAACTTTACCGGGACCACCAGTTACCGCTCTTGCTGCCCCCTTTGTGTCCGCTCCTCTGATCCAGGCCCCCTTGACCAAATCTGGCCCTATGGGGGCTCCTAAGCGGCTGCAACCCGCTCATACGGAGGAGTCGCCAGCTAAGAAGCAGTCCAAGTGGTCAGCTGAGGAAGATGCCTTGATCATTGAGTTGAGAGGAAGTGGGATGAAATGGGAGGATATCAGTACACGATTACCAGGTCGCAGTGCGATCAGTTGTCGTCTTCACTATCAGAATTATTTGGAACGACGAAGCGAATGGGATGAAGATAAGAAGAACAAACTGGCGAGGTTGTATGAAGGGTATGTTTTTTTACCCACACTGACACAGTGTGTCATGACGACTCGCGAGTTGACCTTCTGACGAACATATAACAGATACAAGGCGAAAATGTGGTCAAAAGTCGCTGAAGAAATGGCTATGCCATGGCGTGCGGCTGAAGCCATGCACTGGCAACTAGGAGAACAACAGATGGCCCGTCGCGCTGGTGTCGTTCCTTTCTCCCTCTCAAGCCATGCCATTGATCCCCCAACTACCAGAACCTGTCGCGCCAGTACCTCTCTCACTCGTCCACGGGAAATTTCAACCTCTAGAGCCATCCCCGGTCACCTACCAGGTCTAGCAGCTCAACTTCCTTCCTTGGAGGAATCGACTACTGGTGTTCCCGCATACGCTCCCGCTGCACCTCCTCCACCACTACGGGAGTAGTATGGACTTGCTCGACCGGATCTGGGAATTCCCCCACCAGGAACGATGGGTCCACATATGGGAATGCCTCCACGAAATTTGCCCTAAGGAATGCATGAACACGCCGAAACGGCTTTGGTTTCCTTTTTTTCTTTTTCTTTTTTTTTGATACGACTGGCATTCGTGATTTTCGATTTCACTTTTAGGCAGTTCGATTAGATTCGCCTAAGCTTTTATTCAATTAACTGGGCTTTTGATTCAAGTCCTTGATATAATATCCGGGGTCATCGGTATGAAAGATCATTCCGAGCAGATTGTCTTTGATCTTAGGTGTTGTAATAGCCCACCAATTATCTTTCTCATATCCCGAACTCACCACATCCCCACCCGCCATCTGAATATCCGACTCAAGTTTCTCCTCTTGGAAAAGATGATACGTAGTATGTACAAGAATTCCTATGGTTTGAACGAATGAAAGGACACATATTGAGAGTATTCTATTTATGGGCTCTAAGGAGATGCAGCATATATTATTGTTAGTTGCCTATATGAGTTAGCTGGCTGGCGTTAATTAATTGTGTGTGTGTGTATATAGATTGTGGCAATGAGATCTGAGGATGGCGTGCAGTGTACATGTATATTCCTAGTTTATATATAAAGAATAATCTAAATATAGGGCTCTGCCACTCATTATAAACATAGTTCAGGTAGTTAATCATAAAATGATGCAGCGTACGTTTCCACCACTATTCCGATCTCGCCTGAGGCGCTCCATGCATCAAAGTAATTATACAGTAGATATCAGAATACCTACCTATCCAGCTTTAAAAGACCAGACCTCCATTAACTCTATAAAGAAGAGGACAATACCTTTTTAGTTTAAATTGGCAGAACCAACTAATACCTTGATCTAGCAATTTCCCTTCATGATCTTATGAAAGAGAGATCCTTACTGTCCTAAAGATAGTTACTTGTATTAAAAATATGGTAGTTATTGACCACTTCTTGCTTCTCACTAATTTACTCTCTTACTTTCTCAAGAGGTTATCTATTAAAAAGATAATTAAGTGGGGCATTATTAGGTATATATGCCATCAAGAATATGGGGACCTGTGAAAGTGAGGCCGAAAATGACCGTCTTGGACGCCAAAAACGGCCGCCTTTCCACTCGTAACTTGTCCAGGGGAGCCGGCTCTTCACCGCCCGGCGTCCAGCACCCATCACTATTTTGCACCCATCCAGCGCCGTTAGTCATCATCCTCCCGCCCTGGTCGTTGGCGCTCGTCCCCAAGCCATTCCCTCCGATTCTACCTGAGACCAAACGACGCCGAAAATGGCTCCCCTCTGCAGTCCCTCCCAGGAGCCCTCTCTTTTCGCCCTTCCCGACCGGGCGCCTATAAGATGCTTCTCCCCTTCCCTCTCTCGCCGTCCTCACATCCTCCCCATTCTCTCCTTATTTCCAACCCCCGCGTCTCAGGTCCCTCTTGTTGCCCGCCCTTCAAGATTCTAACCTTGGCCATCTAGCTTGGCTTTTCTCTATGACGGCTGTACTCGCTTAGCCAGCTTAGGACAATAAGTATCAATTCTGGACCGACCCTGTTCTCTGCAAGGAAACTCGCGCCAGACTGGAACACTTCTGTAGTCTTGGATGGCTGCCTCTTGTTGGAGGATTTGGATTTGGATGTCTACGAGTGAAGAAGGCCAGAAACACGTATTGAAGGAAGCGTGAGGAGGGAAGGATCTCCGCGTGCAAGTGAGAGCTAGAGTATATGGCCGCAGTGGTCCAATATCTACACGCGTAACGCGCCGGACCACTGACACACCCCCCGTAGCTCTCGCAGCACGGAGACCTCCGAGACCTCCTGAAATGTCCATTTCTGCAATAAAATAAAATCAGGTGTAGTTACCCAATTAGGAAATAATAGATCACATGATTTGCCTTCCTTTCTTTGTTCTTCTTTATGCATCCACCATCCACAGTCCTTTCCGGAAAGCTTTGAACTTGGTGGTGTCCAGGGCCTTTGTCAGGCCATCGGCGACGTTGTCCTCGCTGTCGATCAGCACCAATTTGATCTTGCCGAGTTCGATTCTCTCTTTGATGATGTGATAGCGTAGATCTAACCACTTTGTCGCTGGCTTAAAGCCGATACCGTGTGCAAGAGTGTATGCATTGTCGCTATCAGTGTAGATTATCACGGGGGGATTGATCGAGTTGCTGCATGTCCACCAGCAAATTCTTCAACAATAAAGCCTCTTGCGATGCATGTTCGTATGCAATGTATTCGGCTGCCGTACTCGACGGCGCAATGAGGGATTGTCGCTTTGTAGACCAAGAGATCGGTGTCCCGTTGTACATGAATATCCAGCCTTGCACAGATTTCTTTGTCCAAGGGTCATTGCTAAAAGAGCTGTCGACGAAGCCTACTAGACCTTTCAGCGGCACCTTTTCACTCACTGCAATAGGGGCCTTCTTTCTGAATTTCAATCCTAATCTTGGTGTCCCTGTGAGATATCGAATAATATGTTTCGCAAGCGCAGTGGCTTCAGTGGATGGATAAGCACTACACCTCTGTAAGACGCCTGTAGCGTATGCAATATCAGGACGTGTTTTCTTTGCAATCCATCCAATCTTTCCAGTGATCTCTGCAAGGGATTGAGCGTCTTGCTTGGATAGAGTCTTTTCCATTGGTAAGCTTGTGTCGGAGCCTGTGGCGATCGGAATTGTATTTGAATTTGCACTGGCCATATGTTCAGTGTGTATAACACCGTCAA